ATCATCACTCTCAATTTGTTTCCTTTAATGGTTCTGAATCCAACATGTGAGGAGTCATCAGAGGTGTTCCCCAAGGCTCTTCACTTGGCTGTTATTATTTTCAATTTTTATTAATGATTTACCACGGTGCTAAAGATCCTGTTCTGTTTAGTTATATGCAGATGACACGGTCTTATACTGTTCTAAGTCGAGTAAATCCGAATTACAACAAGCTATTCAGCCTAATTTTGACGAAGTGCAGCTCTGGCTAGCTCAGAACAAACTTCTTTTAAATAAATCTAAGACTTACTCCATGCTGTTTCATAGAAGTAGTACTCTATCTGAAAGTGACAGGACTCTTAATCTTTATTTTTTGGATTCTTCGCCGGTTCATCCTTCTGTTAAAATGAAATATTTAGGAGTTTGGCTGGAGCCAGAGCTGCCTTTTAAATTTCACATTCACACGACATGTCTTAAGGTCACACGGTGTTTACGTATCCTTTACAACTCAATAAACTGCTTCGAACCTATTGTACGAAAGCGCATTGTCACTCAGCTTCTGTTGCCAATTATTGATTATTCAGATATTTTGTACCAAAACTCAACAGTTTCTAGCCTGCGGTCTCTTGATGTCGTCTACAACAGTTTGTGTCGTTTCATTTTGCGGTGTTCTTTTAACACTCATCATTGTTATATGTATGAGCTTCTTGGTTGGCTTCCTTTAAAAGCTAGACGACAATTTCATTGGTTGATATTTATGTTTAAGTGCATTTATTTTGATTTTCCACTTTATCTAAAAACTCTTTTGGTTCCCATTGATTCCTTGTATTCCACCCGCTTAACTACTCTTCCATCGTTTGTTGTTCCTCGTTTTAAAAAGGAGGTGGGTAGACTCGCCTTTTGTGTTAAAGCTCCTCTGGACTGGAATAAATTACCCGCTGAATTAAGATCCATCTCAACAATTCGTCAGTTTTCCCGCACTGTTTATGCTTATGTAAAGCCAAGCTGCAGTTGCTTTGTTTAATCTTTATTATAATGACTTTGTGCATTCACTGGCTAACATGCTGTATTTTGTTGCCAAACTTTGTATTCAATTGGGATACTACTTCACTTTAGGTTTATTTACAATGTAATTTCTTGCCCTTATTTCTCTTTGAGTGCCTCACAGCAGTTTTATTTAATTTAATTTTGTATATAGGTATGTATGTACGTATGTACACGGGTGGGTATCTATGTATCCATGCTTATGTGTTTATATTTATGTGTGTATATATATATTTATACATATTGTTAATTTTACTATTATTATTTATTTACTTTCCTTTTCTTTTGTTTTTTAAGTCTGTTATAACTTTCTAATTCTGCCACCTTATTTGTTATTGGTTGTGTTGTAGGAGGACCTGCTCAAAAATGAGATGTTACATCTCAAGCAGTTTATCCTCCTGAAAAACATAAGTTAAATAAATAAATAAATAAATAAATATATTATAGACATGTGCATATGTAATACCAATGCTCTATACCTTGGCATTACTGGTTACTGAGGCGGTTGGTAGACTTTACGTGCGTTTAAAATAATTGCACCTTGTGTTTATTTCTGATGATGTTTATTAATTTGTCTTCTTCCACAAAGTCCATGATCCATTCACTGCAGTTAAAGTGGTTTTCAATGAATACGTTACCTGCCCCATGACAGTCCGCAGAGTCCGTTACACACAGCCACAGTCCTCGCCACACAGTAAAAAACTGCTTGTCCCGTCACAGCCACACCTGAGTCTAATCTGTCTTGGCTTAAGTGGGCTGGTGCTTCCACAATCAATTTACCAATCAAGTGAGGCCAAGCCTCCTCTCATGTATGCAGAAAGAAAATGAAAACAACACATATGGCTCCTACAACTTTTGTTGGCAATTTGTTAAGTAGCAAAGAACATTTAGGACACACAGTTTCAGCATCTTTTCACTGGTCCAAACACAGGTGATGTCCTTTCTATAGAAATGCAAAAACTTAAGCACACTGGTCCATTTCTTTGGCAAAATCAAGTTTATTAAAAATAAAATAGTAAAAAGTAACAAGAAAACTATAGAAAAACACGCACATGCAAAAGTTTTATAAATGAAAAGCAAAACACCGCAAACACACAGCACACTGTCCATATTTACATATTTTAAAATGCATGTCGCCAGGCATCTTGGGGTATTCAGAGGTCATAATACTGTCTTATGTTTACCTGGTCGCAACTGCCCGCCTGTTGGCATTCCATCATCATCTCCCGCAAGAGATTCTGGGTGTCTTGGACGTCCTCCATCAAACGCTGACGCGTAGCAGCGCTTTCCTGGAGCCAAGCGGTCTCGTTCGCCAGGTGCTGCCTTTTAATTTCCAGATCCATCCTGTCGTTCTCCGCCGCCATCTTCAGGTACTCCTCCAGACTGGCAGCTGCATCCAGAGCTCGGCGTCTTCTCCTCTTGTGGGCAGGTGGGGTGGGAGTGTGTGCTAAACAGACAGAGACAATTATAATTAATACATAGATTAGAGCCCTGCACTGAAGCCCTAGGCCCTCGGGTCGGCCCGGCCCGACGGTCCGAGGGCCGGGCTTTGGGCCAACGACTGTGCAATTACCTCGGACACGGGCCGGGCGCCTTTATTTTTAATCGAAATCATAAAAAAAAATTGAAACACTTAAACACAGCAGTAGAGCCCTGCGCGGGACTGTTTTCTTCATCCCGCTCCTGCTGAATTTCGAACCATTACCGCCTGCAACTGCCACGTGTGTGTTATACTCCCGCCTGCACCTGCAGCGTGCATGTCTACTCCCGCCCGCACCTGCAGCGTGCATGTCTACTCCCGCCCGCACCTGCAGCGTACATGTCTACTCCCGCCCGCACCTGCAGCGTGCATGTCTACTCCCGCCCGCACCTGCAGCGTGCATGTCTACTCCCGCCCGCACCTGCAGCGTGCATGTCTACTCCCGCCCGCACCTGCAGCGTGCATGTCTACTCCCGCCCGCACCTGCAGCGTGCATGTCTACTCCCGCCCGCACCTGCAGCGTGCATGTCTACTCCCGCCCGCACCTGCAGCGTACATGTCTACTCCCGCCCGCAACCGCAAAACTCGGAGAAATTATTACCTCACAATAAAAGATGTATTGAGTTTGCGTCCTCAACATGTCATTTTATAGATTATCCGCTTTCACCGCAGCGCTGCGCTCCGTTTCAATCAACCTGTACAGCAGGATTTCCCCTCGTAGCGATATTTTCTCTAACTCTGATTGCTTCATGCTATAGATCGTTGGAAAGCTGCGTTTATGTACTTTTAGGAACCGTTGGAATTATTTGAATCTGATCAGCCATTCAAAAGTTATAAAACGGAGCATTTGGGATGACAAACTCGCACGTCTCTGAATGTGTTGTGATTCGTTGCGCTCAAGACAGGGAATCCCGGTGGATACCGTAATGTATTGTATGTGCACGAAAAGCCCCATTTTTAATCTTTTCAGCACTTTTGGAATTTTAATGATGTCTTGAACTAGAGCAGGGATCGGCAACCCGCGGCTCTTCCATCCATCTGATGCGGCTCTCTGTGCTTGTAAAATAATGAATGGATATTTAAATAAAATGCTTTATATTTTACTGCATTAATTTTATATCTGTAAGTCAGTTCTATGTGAAGATTGTCTGCGTAAACCTGAACAGTTCCAACCCGGTCTTACTGTGAGACCGTGTTGGGTCACGCTTGTGCGTAATCATATGCGCTTATATGAGCTGAAGAGGATGTGAGATTCTGGGCTTCTCCTCAGATGGCTCCTGGATGTGTCGCACATTGGAGACAGGAACAAGCACTATTCAGCCAAAGTTTCATAATCAGGGAACATTTTCTAAGTGACAAGTCTCTGAGCAACAGGGTTTGGAAAACACTCGCTTCAGTGGGAGGAAGCTTCCCGCATACGCTTCTGCGACGCTCGGATCCTGCACGTCTTTTAACACATTGGTCAGGATTGACGCACTTTATTTTCATTTAGTTGGTTAAAAAAAAGTCGGGCTCGGGCCGGCCCAGAGAATCCTGAAAACCTTTTCGGGCCGGGTCGGGCTGGGGCTCCACCCCCTCGGGCCGGGCCGGACACGGGCTCAGATTTTAGGCCCGTATAGGGCTCTAACATAGATATATAAACGCTGCATTACAGTTGCCTGCACAGGATCTAACAAGCATCCCTAGTTATTTGTACTTTTGTTTTAATTCCCCACAGGCAGAATTAGTATTATTATTCCCAACCTGTGGATGGAAAGATTTATGTCTTTTTGTTGTTGTAAATAAACCTGATCATCATTTTAACTTTTAAATCCTGTGTTATTGTCCCTTCCTTTTTGCACACGAGCCAAACTCTCCAGGAAGTGTCGTAACACCACTCGCCTCACGCACATAAGTGACCAAAACAAAGCAGCATGGCGACACTTCGTCTCCAACCACCTCTCAGGCAACAGCCTGCACTCCCAAGTTCTGCATGTCACCAGAACATAACCAACACAATAAAAGCATTGTTGTACAAAATGGAAGGCCTATAGCGTTTATTCTCTTACAGTAACAATTTATCATTTTTTGGAGGAATTGATTTGAGATTTTCTTGTTTTTATTCATTGTGCAATAGAAAAATAATCGTTAGATTAATCGTCTAAATAGTCATTAAAATAGTCGACTATTCGATAAAATAATCGTCAGAATAATCGTTTTAAAAATAATCGTTTACCCCCAGCCCTAGACCTGACCTGTACTGGAATGTTTACTGTGTGAAGGTCCTTGAGACGACTCTGGTCCTGATTTTGCGCTTTACAAATAAACTTGAATTGAATTGAAATGAAAAAACTTGAATGTCTACAACACTATTAGATACTCATTTATACAGTTTATCAGCCAAAAGAATAGTTGGTTTGGATGTTGCTTGCTCTTTAAAGCAATAATATTACTGTTAAATGTGTGAATAGAAAGTTACAGCATTCATTAATTCACTGTGTTTCTGTTTTTCCTACAGGTGTTAAAATAATGGCGCTGGTTAAAGAAGAAGCTCATGAAGAACAGAGTGCTGGTGAGGACCGGCAGGAACCAGAACACCTTCACATAAAGGAGGAACAGGACGACCTCTGGACCAGTCTGGAGAGAGAGCAGCTACATTTGAAGGAGACTGATGCTGCCAGATTTCTATTCACTGCTGGTTCTATAAAGAGTGAGGATGATGAAGAAAAACCTCTCGTCTCACAGCTTCTTCAGCAGCACACAGAAGACCGAGATGTTCCAGTGAGCAGCTCAGCTGACCATGTGACAGCAGAAATGACAAGTCATTTAGCAACAAGGTCTTCAGGCTGTTGTGTTAGTAAGGAATGTGTTATAGTGAAGCAACATGCAGACTCCTGTAGGGAAGTCCAGAAAAAGACTAAAACATTTAGTTGTGATCACTGTGGAAAAGAATTTATGGTTGAATCAAGTTTAAACAGTCACATGAGAATCCACACAGGACAGAAGTCTTTTGCCTGTGAGCTGTGTGGAAAAAGATTTACCCGAAAGACGACTTTAAACAGTCACATGAGAATCCACACAGGACAGAAGCCTTTTGCCTGTGAGCTCTGTGGAAAAAGTTTTTGTCATAAGACAAGTTTAAACAGTCACATGACTGTTCACACAGGACAGAAGCCTTTTGCCTGTGAGCTCTGTGGACAAAGATTTAATCTACGAACAACTTTAAACAGACACATAAGAATCCACACAGGACAGACGCCTTTTGCCTGTGAGCTCTGTGGAAAAAGATTTAGACATGAGACAAGTTTAAACTATCACATGATTGTCCACACTGGACATAAGCCTTTTGCCTGTGGGCTGTGTGGACAAAAATTTAGTCATAAGACACATATAAAAGATCACATGAGAATCCACACAGGACAGAAGCCTTTTGCATGTGAGCTCTGTGGACAAAGATTTAACCGACAAACAACTTTAAACAGTCACATGAGAATCCACTCTGGACAGAAACCTTTTGCCTGTGAACTCTGTGGACAAAGATTTAAACGAAAGACAAATTTAAATTGTCACATGAGAATCCACACAGGACAGAAGCCTTTTGCCTGTGAGCTCTGTGGAAAAAGATTTAGTCATATGACAAATTTAAAAGGTCACATGCGTGTCCACACTGGACAGAAGCCTTTTGCCTGTGGGCTGTGTGGACAAAAATTTAGTTATAAGACACATATAAAAGATCACATGAGAATCCACACAGGACAGAAGCCTTTTTCCTGTGAGCTCTGTGGACAAAGATTTACCCGACGATCCACTTTAAACAGACACATAAGAATCCACACAGGACAGATGCCTTTTGCCTGTGAACTTTGTGGACAAAGATTTAGATATGAGACAAGTTTAAAAGGTCACATGAGTGTCCACACTGGACATAAGCCTTTTGCCTGTGGACTGTGTGGACAAAAATTTAGTCAAAATACTCATATAAAAGATCACATGAGAATCCACACAGAAGAGAAACCTTTTGCCTGTGAGCTCTGTGGAAAAAGATTTAATTGTAAGACAAATTTAAACAGACACATAAGAATCCACACAGGACAGAAGCCTGTTGCCTGTGACCTGTGTGGACAAAAATTTAGTCTTAAGACGAGTTTAAAAGATCACATGAGAATTCACTCAGGGCAAAAGCTTTTTGTCTGTGAGCTGTGTGGACAAAGATTTAACAGAAAGACACATTTAAAAGATCACATGAGAATCCACACAGGACAGAAGCTGTTTGCCTGTGAGCTCTGCGGACAAAGATTTAACCGACAAACAAATTTAAACAGACACATAAGAACCCACACAGGACAAGCGCCTTTTGCCTGTGAGCTCTGTGGAAAAAGATTTAGAAATGAGACAAGTTTAAAAAGTCACATGAGTGTCCACACTGGACATAAGCCTTTTGCCTGTGAGCTGTGTGGACAAACATTTAAACGAAAGACAACTTTAAACAGTCACATGATAATCCACACTGGACAGAAACCTTTTGCCTGTGAGCTCTGTGGAAAAAGATTTAATTATAAGACAAATTTAAACAGACACATAAGAATCCACACAGGACTGAAGCCTTTTGCCTGTGAGCTGTGTGGACAAAGATTTAATCATAAGCTGAGTTTAAACGGCCACATGAGTGTCCACACTGGACAGAAACCATTTGCATGTGAGCTCTGTGGACAAAGATTTAACCAGAAGACAACTTTAAATTGTCACATGAGAGTCCACACAGGACAGAAGCCTTTTGTCTGTGAGCTGTGTGGACAAAGATTTAGTTATAAGAAAAGTTTAAACGGTCACATGAGTGTCCACACTGGACAGAAGCCTTTTGTCTGTGAGCTGTGTGGACAACGATTTAGTCATAAGAAGAATTTAAACATTCACATGACAATCCACACAGGACTGAAACCTTTTGTCTGTGAGCACTGTGGACAAAGATTTAACCGAAAGGCAAGTTTAAATTCTCACATGAGAATCCACACAGGACAGAAACCTTTTGCCTGTGAGTTCTGTGGTCAAAGATTTCGTTATAAGGCAAGTTTAAACAGTCATATGAGTGTCCACACAGGACAGAAGCCTTTTGCCTGTGATCTGTGTGGAAAAGGCTTTAACCGAAAGACAGATTTAAACAGACACACGAGAGTCCACACAGGACAGAAGCCTTTTATATGTGAGCTCTGTGGACAAGGATTTAGTCAAAAGAAAAGTTTAAACAATCACACGAGTGTCCACCCTGGACAGAAGCCTTTTGGTTGTGTAACTTGATGTAAGTGGTTACTTTTAATAAATGATCAATAAGTTGTGATATTCCACATAAATATGAAATATCAATATTATTGATCTTTTGAAATTTTATCTAAAATGAAACCAGGTCATTTTGGTAGTTCGCGGAAATCACACCTTCGTAATATTTTGAGACCGAACGAAAAATAAAGTTTTGAAAAACAAATTTAATACTACATTTCTACTACTGTGTGGGTGACGGTGGCACAGCAGTTAAGTGCTCACCCCTTAATCGAAAGGTTGCAGGTTCGAGCCCCCGCTCAGTCTGTTGCTGTCATTGTGTCCTTGGGCAAGACACTTAACTCACCTTGCCTGCTGGTGGTGGTCGGAGGGACCGGTGGCGCCAGTGCTTGGCAGCCTTCTCTTTCAGTGCACCCCAGGGCAGCTGTGGCTACTTCGTAGCTCATTTCCACCAGCATGTGAATGTGTGTGTGAATGGGTGAATGACTGATTGTATTGTAAAGCGCCTTGGGGGTTTCCAGGACTCTAGAACGCTATATCAAATACAGGCCATTTACCATTTACTAATGATGACACGGAACAAATGATGATAAATTATGGTTGAAACAAGATAACTGGGACAATGAGTGAAATGATGGAATGTGTACTTAGATGTTATGTAGCAAAACCAAGTGTCTTAGAAAATTGTGATGTCTGGGTTGTAAAATACGTCTGAATGTATGGTTTAACAATCTCAATTAAAAAAAACATCTCACGCCAGTTGTGCAGAATCTACGAGTCCTTGTGGCGAAGGCTGCTGGTGATCCAGCGGTCGGAGAAGTTGATACAAACTGCCAGTAGAGTTGAGTTCTGTGGTATTTGGAGCACATAGTTTCACCCCAAAAACCAAACCGCTGTTCTGAGATACCTTCCAAGTGAGTGCTGGAAGCTGGTGTAACAATTTTGCAACTCCACAATAATTTCAGACTTCCTCATCTGATGTAGAGAGACCAGCTTGTCTGAGTGTAGCGTTTAGGAGGCAGATCTCAAGTCTGGCTTTGATTTGCTGCAATTTGGTCAGAGTCCAAATGCCCATCTTGCGCATACACTGACTCACAGACCTTGGACAGGTCGGCCAGTGCTGCATCCTTTGGGTCAGTGCTGCCCCCATCTTCAATGAGGTGCAGGAGGTGGTAGAGGCATGCGTCCGTGGCCGCCTACTCAGAGAGGAGTGGCCATGCAATGGCAGCAGAGTCCAGTGCGTCGCTGCAAATGGACGCCATATGCACCGACTCCTTGCTATCAGTCACGTTCCATGTGCCCATGCAGTGGCCCTCATCAGAGCCAGAGGGCGAGGGATACCTGGAAGCTGCGTCGGCAGCGCAGTTGCTCATGCCAGGCAAGTGTACGCTGGCATGGGAATGTGCGCTGTTTGAGCCTAGGGTTGCCAACTCCCTGAAAAATAAATAAGGGACACCTCGCGGGCAGGGCCGGCCACTCCAGGCCACCCTTCCCAGCGTGGTGATTTTTTTTTTTGCTCTTTTTTTGTGTGTGTGAAAGGATTTTTTTTTTTACTATTTGACTTGAAGTTGGTTTAAGAAGATGCATATTCTTTGTGATATGAAAACATGGGAAACAAATGATCATTTAGCCATTTATTTATGGCGTGAAATTACAAAATTACTAAAAGTAACAAAGGTCTTTTTCTTAAACAGAAAACTGTTATGCTCCACTTTTTGTGCAAAATGACAAAAAAAATAAAGCAGGTCTCTTTCTTAAACGGTAGCCTGTTATGCTTTACTTTTTAGAATATAAATAGCTCTCTTTAAAACAACTCTGTTCTGCTTAACTTAAAATTGTATAAATTAATAGAAAACAACAGAAAGAGCAACGCTGTAACTGCACATTTAGTGCAATTAGAAAAGTGCAAACAGAAAGTCTGTGGAGAAGCTGTAAACATATTTGTGCCTCAAAGGCCTTGACTGTAGCCTACGGTTGAAGTAAAAAAAAAAAAGGTCCAAACTCATGAACTCAAAAGCTCAGTGCTACATTATGTGAAAACAGACTATTTTCTCCATTTGTATTTCTTTTGAGATCTTGCTGCATTTAGGAGTTGTTTGTCTTTCAGTACTGCAGAGTAAAACTCTGAGCAAAACATGTCGTAATGCTCACATCTAATTATTTCAGTAGAACATTTGTTCCGCACATCAGTCCACTTATTCTTCATGAGAGAGAAAATCCTCTCTGCAAACCCAGTGGAAGATGGGATGCTGAGTACAAAGGATACAACAGGCTGGATGTTGGATGTTGGTTCTATACTACACTTCTCTGCTGTTCCCTTGGACTGCCACTTTTCCTTCTCCTGGGGTCCTTTGGTGAGGTGCTCCAGAAGGCTGGTTGCAGTGACACACTCGTCATAAAGCTCATCCATAGAGATGTTTAACCTGCCAATGGAGATAAGAAGTAAACCTGGGTTATAAGCACCACATAGAACACTTACAGTGGTAAATAAATGGAAAACATTTATTGTATATTTATTGCATTGTATAGCGTTTATACAATACAATAGTTCACTTTATTTATTATGTATTTATCCATCCTTTTAGTTTAAAATTATCCAAACAACATATAAACCAAGACAAGGCTACATTGAAACTAAACACCCAAGTTAAAAAAAAATAGAAAAACTAATGACAAAACAGAAACAGACAACAAAAATAATAAAAATAATAGTAAACAAGCCCCAACACAGTGGTTTTTTTTCTTCATATAAATACCTTCACTTTAACCAGAGGGGTTAAAAAAAGCAATGTTTACTTACCATATCTGCTTCTGCCGTGGCCTTGTGGACGACAAACGGATCGAGGGTTCCCCGTGCTTTCACGTCCTTTATGTTTTTCATGTGGCTACTACTAGAAGCATGTTGCTTGAGGTCAGTCAGTCCACCATGCCCTATGGAAAAACTGCGCCGGCGGGTACACGGTGCAGTGCGCTTTATAGGTGTTATCGCGCAGTTTTTCCAGCCAGGAATTTTCCTTTTCCCATTCCTCCCTGTATTTTTGAAGCCTTTTTTCTTCTTTCTCGGAGGAATACTGTCGTCCGAGACTTGTACAGCAGTGTCGGCGTTAGTTTCCCTGTTGGCCATGCTGTTTGCTGTCGACTGTTTTCTTCCGGTATCTTCTCCCCAAGCGACCGTTCCTCGACCAATGAAATAAGCGGTAATCTGTATCGTCATATTTGTGTGTAAGCATGCGGTCAGCTCATTGGTCACAGAGCAGGCGAAGGGCTGGCTTTCAAACAAAGCGTTAATTCTGGTAATAGACTACAGACTAATTTTGATCCATACTATATTACGGGACAAAGTGCGTCCCTTTTGAGTTTAATACGGGACGTGCACTTTTGTTTCTAAATACAGGACGATTCCGTTTTTCAAGGGACGGTTGGCAACCCTATTTGAGCCTGAACAGGCGAGAGTTATCTCATCCAATGTCTGGTCCCTAAGGATCTTCACCAGGGGCTTATGGTCGGTGACCATGGCCAGGTTTTTGCACCCCTGCGTGAAGTATCTGGTCTGCTCCAGACCCCATGCTACAGCCAAGGCCTCCCCCTCAATAGCGGCGTATCGCTGCTCAGCAGAGGAGAGAAAGCGTGAGCCGGCCAGAGTAATTTTCCATCCATCCTGACAGCAGCCGGGGACACTTGAGCTGCAGGTGCAGTGCTCCTGGAGGAGGAAGTATCCAATGCCGCGCTTGGACCAGTCTGGGCAGAGGTAAGTGCGCCTCTCCATGTCGCCGTTATCTACGCCTGCCCGGATAGAGTCCATGATGGCCAGCTTGGATGCCTGAAATGCTGCCTCTAACTCAGGTGACCACACAAATTTGCATCAAGGGCTCAGAAAGGACTTAAATGTCGCCATTATATCATGCAGCTGCGCATAGTTGGCCACCTGATTAACCAGACCAAACCAGCTCCTGATGTCTGTGGTCGAGGTAGGTGTGGGGAAGTCCCTGATGGCCGTCAGGTACTTTGAGAGGGGCTCGATGGTAGCATCGGAGACCCTGAAACCGGAAAAATTAACGTCCCTCTCGGCAAATTGAAACTTAGATGGGTTCAACACGATGCCGGATCAGCCAACTTGCATCAGGAAGTCAATCGTTTTCCACCAGTGCGTTGTTTGGTCAAAGTCATTGTGGATGGTGTCATCCACGCACCTTTCCTTCCATTCAAAGTCGGAGAGGATCGCATCAAAGCGGCGATTGTAGCCATCGCCAGACGACAGAAAGTCCTGTGGGGCTCTGGTGTAACGCCAGCGGCCGAAGGGAGTGATGAAGGTAGTGAGATGACGGTCTGACTCGCGCAGGGGCACGCTGTGATACCCATTCCAGGCGTCAGTGAAAGTCTGCCAGGTCCCTTTCGGGATCCGGCGTGCCAGGTGGAATGGAGACTCGGTTGCAAAAGTCTCACTTTTGCAGAACTTGTTAAGAAGTGAGATATCGACGGTCCTTACGTGGGGTTCCGTCGTGCTTCCGGGTGACCACCATCCGGTGGCACCAGGTCACTGGTTCGCCATATGGGACACGTTCAATGACGCCAGGGACTCGTCCCGAAGTAGGTCGTCATGCACCCTCTGCTGCCAATGCAAAGGCCACAGGGTCAACGTGTATTTCTATGGGTGGACCTTCCATGCATGGTAGCATCAGATGGGGGAAAGTGTTGAATGTTGAAGATGCGTACCAGTCAAGCAGCCACACCTTTATCCAGTGATTATTCTCTGGGGAGCATGGGAATGGCAGCTCCGCGGGGCGCGGAGGCGGGGCGCTGTGTTGAGGTCATGAGCAACAAGCCACATGATGGGAAGCCATGCCTCCGTCACAGACTTCCCCCAGGCATGTGACTTTGGTGAGCCCACCACAACGGCTGGCGGCTTCAAGGTCATGGCCCACTGCCGAGTTGCCCTCACCCGTGCAGGATGGAAACCCACTAGACAGAAGGCCGAGGCTGAGCAGGGAGTCATACGAGAGGTACATTGCGTGAACTGACCTGCTAACATATATCATTGCGCAGCAGGACACCACCTCACCACCAGGGACAGCTGTGGATAGTTTGGCAAAGAAGGTGCCCTCGATGTCAATGGGGGAGCTGCTTGCCGCTGATAGGTTTAGGACCACCGGGTGGAGGGTGCTGCGTACAAAACCGCATGCCAGAAACTCCTCCAGGGACCACAGGTCTGACTGAGCCCCCGTGTCTGCAATGGCGGACACGGTGGCCTCTGCAGCCGGGCATCTGGCACCGGCTCCACTAGTGAACCTCACCTTATCATCTACCTAGGTGGAAACGGGCACTCGTGGGTGGTCCCTGAGCTTTGCGCGCCGCCATTCACCCTTGGAGAAGATTTGATGGCCGAGCATGATCGGCGTGGGCCCATCACTGTAGCTATGTGTCCCCAAGGTGCGGGGTCGGTGCCTGTCTCTGTGGCGCCCATTAGAGCAGACGCCCGGCATGATGGATGAGACCTGTCTTTTACGCCGTCGGGAAAGTCGCAGAACGTGCTAGAAGTCCGGCATTCAATGCAGCATTCAATGACTAGAAAAAAACGTAGTTTTTTTCGGCGCTCTAAAAGACTACATGAAGACGGCGTGCAATACGGTGTTCTGAAGGGATTTCCACCATCACTGGACGCCGCATGGAACGCTGAATGGCGCATTTTACGCCGTTCGGTGTTTGACTTTGCCGACGGCGTAAGAGACGGCGTTTTATTTTTTAATGATGCTGGCCACTCCCATAGGTTTTCTCAGCCACTTATTTTAAACTTTGATCGCCCAATCCAAGAAGAGAAAATACGGACAGTACTAGTTCATCCTAGATGCAATTTCCTGGGTTTTCCTGCTATTTAAGCTTAAATTCACCAACATCACCTCATCTATAGTACTAATTGTTGCATTGTGGCTCATTTTAAACATAATTGTATTTCTGCTGCTTGCATTGATATGAATAAAATGAAGACACTGACACGGACTGGTGTGATGTTTTGAATCCGACTTGATGGATGTATTCACCACTAGGGGGCACCCAGACGTAAGCCACAAGCCGGGGGGGGGGGGGGGGGGGGGGGGGGGGGATTTTTCAAAGTATGTTTTTATTTGTTAGGAATGTAAAATGACTTTCATCATATTTAAATTTTCTGATTATATGTAAAAGTAAATAAAAACGAATACAATATCTGATGGAATGAACCTGTTATTTACATAGATGATACTTTCAGAAATTCAAGATACAACATTGTTTCATTGCACAGGTGTACAACAAAATTATCTTTGCGCTCACTAAAGACAGCTCAAAAGGCTGTAGTAACATATGAGGACAATTTAAAACAGGACTGAGAGCCCTTGAGCCGGATTCCCTGTGGTCTGTATTTTTTAAATAACATCCCAGATAACAAGCTTACATTGAAACAATATTGACTTTCCATCTGAATCATTTTCGTTGACATTGTAATACTGATGCAAACTAGTTGTTGAATCAACATCGATAAACTGATAATGAAACCATGTCTGTGTAGCTGAAAAATTTGTAGCTGTAACTTTCAAGGACTAGAAAAAACGCCGTTTTTTACGGCGTTTTAGACGGCGTTAAATATTCTAACGTGTTCAAAAGTGGGCGATTAGTGACCCGAACAGCTTGCCATAGCAGGGCTTCGGGGTTGTGAGGCTGGGTCGGCAGAGAGGAGCAGGAAGTGGGAGCTGAGTGGGAGGAGGGACGGAGGGAGCTAGCCGCTGAGTAGCAACGGCTAGTGACGGAGTGATGAGTGACTGGAACGGGAAGAAGAAGAGAAGTGGAGAAGCTGGGGCCTCGAGGAGTTGACCTGGAAACGGACTTGAATAACTGGTCAGGAGCTCCTGGCACCAGGGATCGATGAGCGAGCTTGTGAATGGTGAGTGAGTCTTTCACCAACCTGCGTAGGCCTCCAGCCCCATGGTCCTCCTGCCTTTGTTGTGTTAACACACTAGTAACCAGCCTCATCAGCTGTTCCTCTGCTCACGAGCAGCGAGTCTCCTCATCATCTACCTGCACAGGTCCTTCTCACACCAGACATGACTCGCTGAGCCAGGTCACCTTCAGTCAGAGATAACTTTAGACTTTTATCTCTCTAGATGCATCCGACACACACACACACACACACACACACACACACACACACACACACACACACACACACACACACACAATAGTGTTTCTATGGTTACATTGTGATTTCTTAGTAAATATTCTATTTGGTGAGAGATAAACTTTATAGTATTTATCCTAGTGGATCTATAATTAAACGGGTAAACTAGTAGTAGCACATCCAACGTCAAAGAGAGTAAAAAGTTATTATCAGGAGAGGGAGAATGTTTAAGTGGTTAGCAGCAGTGTGCTAGAGGATGGCCCCCTCCATGAGGCCACCACAGCTCTGCAGAACATCATTGTAGCTTCTTCTGGGGAGAAAATAAAGTTAACAGCTGAAATAGCAGGAAATAATACAGTTAAAGAGCAGATTGTAGAAGAAAGATAGATATATTATTATATATATATGCACATGTCTATAATAAATGATGTCTTGTTATGAGTCACATCTATATATGCACATGTATAATACATGGTAACTTATTGTTACAGTCACATCTAGGGCTGCAACAACGAATCGATAAATTCTATGAAAATCGATTACTAAAAGCGTTGGCAACGAATTGCGTCATCGATTCGTTGTGTTGCGCAACTCTTCCAAAAGCCCCCTCCCGCCCGCCGTTGCGCGCAGACCGGAGAGCCGGCAGGTGTTTGGAAGAGGAACATGGCAGAAGCAGCGAGACCCAAAAAAGTAAAAACTTCTAAAGTTTGGGAGCATTTTCAGTTAAATCAGGCGAAGACATTTGTTACCTGCAACGTTTGTAGGTCAGACTAGGCATGGCACGGGAGTACTGCAGTGATGATGCAGCATCTTAAACGTAAGCATGTCAGAATCATCAGCGAGGAGGGAGAGAGCTCTGTGTCCGGGTAAATTAAAAACTTTTCAAAAGTGATTCACCCAAGCCCCGGATTATTACACAGGCTAGACATGCCCTAAGCTCGTAAAAAAAAGTCTATAAAATCGTAAGCGCACCGCTATTAGATAGTGGGGGGGGGGGGGGGGGGGGGGGGGGGGGGCTACTGCGAACCGGTTCCGCCGTCACATTCCTGCAGAAACTGGTTGATCACACCGGGGCCAGACTACTAGCATGTGGCTTTACAACCACAATGTCCTCGGAAGCAAAAACGCTTTTAAAAGGGAGGGAGGAGTCCTAACTGTTGCTGCAGGCGTGTTGTGTGAGAGTGCGGTTATATACTGGTTAATATATTTTTGGGTTCAGTTGCTTTCATGTGGCCTAATGTGAGTCTATTTGGGATCATTGGAATGATCAGCAGCATCTCTTGATGTGACTTTATGGCAGTTGCCCAGGGCATCATCACAAGGAGGATGGCATTCATTTACTTTTGTTTTATTTGGTATTTTTTCAGTCATTTTTGGAAATAGTGATTAATTTTGATTAATTCACAGCCTATGTTTAATTACATTTAAAAATTAGTTGTTTGACATCCCCAATTATAATAACTGTCTACAGATGAGATCAAACAAAACAGATGAGAATTCCCCTTAAAGAGCAAGTCACCCCCAAATAAACTTTTTTTTGCTGATAAACTAAATAAACGAGTGTCTAATCATGCTGCAGACACGTGTCGTCAATAATTTGGCACTTCAGTGCATCTTAGTTCAAATTTGAATATTCTGCCTAAAACTGGCAGAGTTGTGCCGTTGTCAGGTAAAAACTCTGCACTGTATTTTAATTTAAATCTGCCACCGCTATTGGCTACGAAGTATGCTATGATGTAAACTGGTACATTATGATGTCACAATGCTGCCGTGAGCCTGAGTGTGTGTGTATTTGTTAGCAGAAACACCCTCTCGGTCTGCCAGGCAACAGCATGTGTTGCATTTTTCAAACATGAAGTGGGAGTGGAGTTAGACTCTGGTAGGGGTTGACTTGCTCTTTAAGCTGTTTAACTTGGACCAAGCATTTTAGGTCACAGAAAGGTGTAGCTTAGGGTCTCTGTCTATGCACCTTATAAGACAATTTAGGTGATGGCATGTTGTTTTTCTGCTATTGAACTGTTTTCTAATAATGTTGTGTTTAATAAAGTGAAGGAAGGAGAGAAATAACGTTTCCCTAGCAGTTTTTAAAAATGTCCCCATGTAATCTGATTAATCGATTAATCGTGTCGAGACCCCATCCGATTCATCAATTATCTAAATAATCCTTTGTTGCAGCCCTAGTCACATCTATATCTGCACATCTCTATAATATATTATTACAGTCACATCTATATCTGTACATGTCTATAATATATTATTACAGTCACATCTATATATGCTCATGTCTATAATATATGATAACTTATTATTACAGTCACATCTATATCTGCACATGTCTATAATATATTATTACAGTCACATCTATATCTGTACATCTCTATAATATATTATTACAGTCACATCTATATATGCTCATGTCTATAATATATGATAACTTATTATTACAGTCACATCTATATCTGCACATGTCTATAATATATTATTACAGTCACATCTATATCTGTACATCTCTATAATATATTATTACAGTCACATCTATATCTGTACATGTCTATAATATATTATTACAGTCACATCTATATATGCTCATGTCTATAATATATGATAACTTATTATTACAGTCACATCTATATCTGCACATGTCTATAATATATTATTACAGTCACATCTATAATCTATATTTAGATAACAGCCAGTATTTATAACACAAATCATTTAGACACGTTTCATGGTGTAAACTTCACTTACAGCACCTCTTGTGCTGAAGTCCTGTTGGTGAGGCTAACCTCCTGGGGTCATCAGGTCATCTAAAGGCTCCAGAGATCCTTCACCTTCATTTAGAGGAACCATCGTAGAAAGTAGGAAGTGCCCTGTTCCCAGCCATCCGGGTTTTAATAGAGTCTAAGCAGGAGTGGAACAGCTGCAGCTTTCTCATGGGACTTAAAGAGAGATGTACAGTTGGATGTCATCTGCATAAAGATGGTAGGAGATTCCTTTAAAGAGCAAGTCACCCCTTACAAGAAGCGTACTTCACTCCCACTTCATGTTTGAAAAATGCAACAAATGCTGTTGCCTAGCAGACCGAGAGGGTGGAGCCACTAACAAATACACACACTCACGACATTGTGACATCATAATGTACCAGTTTACATCATAGCATGCCTCTTAGCCAATAGCGGTGGCAGATTTAAATTCAAATGTAGTGAAGAGTTTTTACCTGACAACTGCACAACATTGACAGTTTCAGGCAGAAAATTTAAATTTTACCTAAAATGCACTAAAGTGCAAAACTATTGACTACACGTGTCTGCAGCACAATTAGACACGCATTTATTTAGTTTATCAGAAAAAAATAGTTGATTTGGGGGTGACTTGCTCTTTAAAGGAGTGTGTTAATGTGCTGAAGAGGAAGTAGATAGAGGAGGAAGAGCAGAGGCCCCAGCACAGAACCTTATGGGACACCATGGGTGAGGGAAGTGGTGGAGGACCTAAACTTGGAGACGGCCACAGAAAAGGAGCGCTCAGAAAGATAAGAGAACCACTCCAGAGCAGATCCTGATAGGCCTACCCAGTATCTGAGCCTCTCCAGTAGCAGGTGATGGTCAACAGTGTCAAAGGCTGCAGTCAGGTCCAGCAGGACCAGAACAGAACAGTCCCCTGCATCACTGTGGGTCAGAAGGTCGTTAGAGACCCTAAGACGAGCGGTTTCAGAATACATGTAACGACCGCTTAGAAACGGAGGAAGCTAGTGGCTAGCCGCTATAATTGATTATGGTGTGCTTCTTCAAAGATTCATAAAAATGTATGACTGCCTCTTAATGCATCGATTATTAGATTAATTTCCTCAGCTCTATCTAGCACCCCAACTAAAAAAGCCAACACACCTCCTAAACTTGCTCTGATGGGTTCGTTGGTCTGTCTGCCATTCTGGCAGAAGAAGACTAGCAAATGGTGTGACTCGGCTGAGAAAAGATGTGTGTCCATTGACACGCTTCCAGAAAAAATGGCAAGGTGATAGAACACAAGTAGGCGGTTCTATGACCTCCGAGGTTTGTTAGACCGTTATCATTTATAATCCTTAACGATATTGCCATGGCCTTACTGACAGGGGCGTAGCACCAAATTCTGGGCCCTAGGTACAAGTCTTCTAGGTGGGCCCCATGCTCAATTGTGTAATATCTCTCTTACACATTTTTTGTCACGCTATAAGACAAGATAATAAATATGATCTTAGTTTAACCTCTATATTGAGCAAATACAAATGCCAGCATAATAAAAGTGAAATGCCCAGACTTCACATATAATTATTTTTATTTGCCAACAATGTGTTCAAACATTAATCCTGGAATTTATTTTCCAGTAAATGCCCACTGACGGGTCTTCATGTTAGCAAAATCACTTATGAGATCTTTAAAGTCCAATCCTTTGGCTAATTGGCTTTCAATAGAAAGAAGAGCTAGGCTGTTCAGTCTATCCTGGGACATTGTTGATCTCAAATAATTTTTCACCAGTTTCAGTTTGCTAAAAGCCCGTTCACCCCCAGCAACAGTCACAGGTAGTGTGCAAAAAATCCTCAGTCCAATACAAACTTCTCCAAAAATGCTCTGTAATTGCATCCTGTAGATGGAATTTAGCAGCTCAAGAGGAGACATGGGATGCAGTACAGAGCCTTTGCACTTTCACTGTAAATAAGCCAGTCTCTTCTTATCTTCTCATGCCCATTGGCTGACTTAGCATATTGAAGATAATTTGGAAATGGCTTGCCC